GTTTTCCAACAGATAGTGTCAGAATCTTGAAGGCTCAGTTTACGATTAAAGCGGTTTTTGGGATTTCTTCCCAGGATAAGGCTGCTCCCCCAAAGATAGTACAAAGGCTGTCGGGTTGAAGAAGGACCTGGATAGGATTTAACAAGGACCTCGAAATAGCCTTGAACGATATACACACCCCAAGGTAGAAGAGTTTTCACGATGTTGTAGAGACTGTAGAAGTTACACTATCCGTAGCGGGATGTACACATCGCAGCTTACTGTAACCATCTGTACGCAATGACACAAACATATGGGTTCGCCTAAACATTTTCCATGCAACTTTCGATGCCATATTCTCGTCCAACCCCAATAAGTACCCCAAAACGGTCGTATGTGCCTTTGAACCTCCAATAGTACTTTTGTAGGTTTTCTCCCTCTTTATAAATCAGGGTTTTTCTCACCTGGCCCACTTCAGTTACCAGTACTTCCCATCTAATAAGCCGTCCACTTGCACTCTCTCATATATCTTCGTAAGTTTACTGGTTCTAAGAAATCTGCTGCTGATGAGTGGCACTCGGGTTGATGGGATTTTCCCACAATAAATATTAGACGTCTAGACGGGACATTGAACCGAAGCGCTATTCATCTAACTCTTCGACAAGCTTTCCCAACTATTTTATCCAAGACTACCTGGGCTAAACACCAAATCTCGGATCGCTTGAACCAACTAAACTTTCATCACTCCGGGAACAGCTGTTAGGTACCGAACTCGACTGGGATGATGAGATCACCGATTTTTGCATCGGCTGGCCACTGCAAATCATTGTATAGGCGATAACATCAGGTAACTTCCGAAAGTATTTTCGGGAAAGAATTCCCTGATCCTCGTTTATGGATATGCCTCATTAGTGAGTACTTTGCGTGCAGCAATTGTACTTTCATAGAAAGTGATGGAAGCTTTGGTAATTCGGTTCTTGAGAAGATTCCTGCAAAGTACGACCATATAATGAGATGGTTCCATGAAATCCCCTCTACGCAATTTCTGCTGACTTACTGTGTGACAATGGCATTAGAGTTGCAAGCATCATAACTCACGTGTACGCCCTGCTAGGTACCTGCCAGGTAGTCCCGATTTCCATCTTTCTTAGTGTAGGAAAAGCTGGCAGCAGAAGTCGCTGTATAGCAAGTGATTTACTCTGTCGAATTCCATCTGAGAAAACCTTCCATTCTGTAGCTCCTACTCCATACTTCCGACTGCTTACTTGGATTGGAGCCTGAGACAATGGCTGTACAGGGACAGCTCACTTCATTATCTCGATTAAATTGGATTCGGTCATCCATAGATGCCTAACAAATGCCAATTTGTGTAACTTACCCCCTTTTTTCTTACAAGTAAGTCGTCTTCTAGGTAGAGATGATCAGTATTCCTATTGTGGTGATAAGGTCTATCGATGACTGGTGCTGTTGCTGTTCCTTATACGCACGTTGTCTATGGATTGAGTCTCCTCCGATCCGTTCAGCTCCTCACCCAGTCTGTACCCATCGTAGCTGTGTTGTTGTGCAAAAGTGCTCAAGAGCGTGCAAAACAAGAAAGCAGAGGTTTTCTAAGCTCTCAAACCATTTCAATGTTCATTTTCTACTTGTTTAGTAGAAAAGTCGTTCTCCGACTTATTACAAACCTGCACTCCCTTCTTTCTTGTAGGGTTCCCATGCGATGTTGACCTAGTAACGAAAAAACCTATTTATACTAGTACTGACTACAGATATTGAATAGCCGTGAGAAAGACTTCACGAAATACTATCTTACGTCGACTCGGTTCAGTGATCGACTACAGTACGAGACTACGAGGTAACAAAAAGTGTGGCTTACTAGAATGTGACTAAGTAAGGCCAAAAGATTCCGAAAAAATTGTAACCGTTTGAGGTTCTGGACGAGATCGATCGTCCAAATCTTGAAAATGTTTTGTTGGGTAGGAAGGGGAAGGGAATATTTCGTGGGTAATTTTTGGATCCCTATTTCTTGATGAAAGCTGCTGGTAGACATCGCGCTTGGGACAAATAAAAACCAAATGATACTTCTTACGAGAAGCATCAGGGACTAGGTTTTCCGAACCGATTTCCCTTGGGCTCTTCAAGAATCGCCTTTGCGATTGGTTTGATGTCGAAACTCTATTTATTGTCAGACATTCATTTTGCTTTCAATTTCCGCATAACTTTGCTGCCGTCATCGTCTTCCTGAACCAATTTGACCATTTCAGTTAGTTTCACACCCACTACGTATAATATTACTGTTTATTCATGAGCTCAACCTAATTCCGACCGATCTCACACTCAGGAATCCTTGAATAAGTTTGCTTCGAATCTCAATAATCGATAATTTCTGGGATTTTCCGCCCATCTTTCTTCTACTGTCCGGACCGCCTAGAAGACTCTACTCTACTGTATCCTTCATCCTCTGCTCCGACCCAATATTTTCAGTATTTTTTCTTCTCTTCTTCAGAAACTCTCCAATTATATAGACATATATTAATGGCTGGCTCACTAATGGTGCCGATTTTGCTTATGCGGTCAAAAGGCTTGACGTGATCGGGCTGTCCTACCCATTTGAGGCTTTCTGTCTGACCACTTTGCCACAAACAAATAAACAATAAGCACTCGCGAATACCCCTCAATCTTGATCCCATGTAGAACACATGGGGCTCTATTTTTAGCTTATATCTCACGAAGAGTCCAAGAAAACAATCAGTAATATAGCGCTTAAGTCAGAGCATATGAAAAATCGTGGGAGGAAATCTTTTCTTTGACTCTCGTACCCTTTATTTATTAGTCGTTATGACATGGAGCTGAGAATTTTGGAGTCATTGGAGCTACTACGACTTCTGTTTACTGAAAACCTGCTACTAATGATTTGTGATTTCCTAGTTCCGTGTGTATGTTCTAGCTCTTTTTTGTAGAGCATTCAAGAAGCATTCCTCTCAAAGAATAACCCGAAGTTCTTCCAAGATGGAAAATGAATTCCACGATCTTTTGAAAACGCCTTCATATCCTCCACTATGGTGTCAGTGCTGTTCAATGGGATGGTTTCCTGACATCGTTAAATTCTTCAGTTTTACCTTCTGCCTCTTCTGCCTTAGATATCTTCTCTTCTAGAGTACCGTTTCAAGGAAAGAGATCACCTTGCTATATGGCCCGCTGAAAAATCGTCTGGAGTGCAGCTGGCTCCCGGATAAACTTCGTTCCTTGTTTATATTGAACAATGATTGATTTTCGAACCACATGCCCATTGAAGAAGGTGAGGGTAGCGAGCTTGTCGTCGGTTTTTGCGTCCCCACACATGTACGTTTATCTATTAGCATGAGGAAAGCAACGGGCTCTAAGAGACTGTTCAAAAATTGCAATTTGAACATGAATAACATATGCTTTTCTCAGAAGCTGCATCTAGGGTAAGCAGGAAGTAGTGTCGAGCATTCAATTCAGCCTATCATTATATCTCAACCGTGGCAATTCAGCCAAGTGTGACTGGATCACGTAATTCTCTTCTTCACACCTGCTCTGTTCCACCGTGATGCTCTGGCAGGCGGAAAGTTTGGAAGGCTCTGACCGAGTGTGTGAATACTCGCCACATAATCAACATNCAAATAGCTTTCGGTCTTTCTATTGCTCTAACCTCGGCAGAGTTGTTTGTATTGTTTTATTCTTTTGCCGTACGAGTTTTCCAGGTGAACAAAAGAACTAACAAATTCTGATCTCAACGTTCATAAACCTAAAGTTCCGACACGGTAGTCTTATTCAGGGGGCAAGGCTCTATCGCTCAAACGGACAAAATCCGTTGTTGCCACAGGCGACGGTCAGTAGCGGAACACTACTACAGTGGAACCTTGGCCTCACAAAAAGGTGGTGTTGGTGTCCTCGGTGTTAGGCCGTTGATTTACCGAACTGCTCTACCTCAAAACCTTGCACGGCAAAAGAATATCCATAATAATCACGACCAATGTTCTCTTGAGATGTGGTTCTTTAGAAAGGTATCTGACTTAGGGAGCAACTAGAGTAAGCCAGCCTCAACTCATTTTCAATTGGCATGGTGAAAATTTGACCAGGAAAGGAAAGGTCTTGTTATGTTTTCTCAAGTTCTGCGCATCAACCCTTACAAAGCCTCGCATTGCAAAATGGATCAATTCTCGGAGACCTATACATAGTTCTATGGTCTATGGTCTCCAAGAATTACTTCATTTTGCATTTCGAAGTAAAGTGAGAAGTGATCACGAGAAGGTCATCAACTGAAAGGGCATAAATTGTAAGGTCATCAACTGAAAGGGCATAAATTGTAACTAAACTGCAAGTTATAAATAAAAAAGCACAAGTAATATATTTTGTAGTTTGACTTCATTGGTGATATAAGTCATGTGGAATTGTCCAGAAAAACTACGTTTGCCACTTTCATTTCCTCTAAAACATAGCATAAATTCTCTGAAACTTTCCGTGCTCGCCTTTTCAGTGACTTCATTTTATGAAAAGATTGTATCCGCCCTCCCTTGAAGAAAACCCCTTCCGAACTTCAACAATGCACTTCGACTTCCTCCTGTTATTTTCCAAATGTATTTTGATTTTTCTGAAAAAAATTCTGTGAAGCACTTGGATCGGTTCCTACTTACGAGAGTGGCATTCCTATTGATATGACAGGATTGGAAATCCATCAATTTTCTTCCTTGTTCATCATCCTGGCACATCACCCATTAAGCTCTCTCTCCAAATACTTGGTCACCGAACAAGTCATAGGAGAGGGCCAGAGACCACTTAGGACTTTTACATCGTAAGGATTCCTTTTGCTTGATACTGTTGCCGATGTCGATGCCTTGGTGTTTCTCGATAATTGAAGTATTTGTTTGAATCTTCTAATTTCCTGTTAGGCAATTATCGAGCCTATAGAATCAAGTCACCAACAAATACCGTCTAATTGATGTTTTCAGTTTGTCTTCATCTGAAATCTGAAAGGATTGTTTCAACGTCGACGTCATCATATGGGATTGTGTCAGAGTGAGGAGGACAAGAGTGGCTTAGATAAAAGCAAAGCAATCGATAAGCAAATCAAGCAGGGAGCTGCTGCTGATGAGCGTACCGTGAAACTGCTCCTGTTAGGTAAGTCCACATAGACCCAAAGAAGTTCCTGATCGATTACTGGATATGTTTGGGAAAATGTGATCATCCCAAATGATGACTTATCGTACAGGGCAGCGTACAGCGTACACAGAAAGGATAGGCTGGGGTCAGGAAATCTCAGCTAGGCGTAGAGGCTTGTCCATTGCAAGCATAGGGTAAGGACGGCGGTCATAGGAAGCGTGTGTCCGACTACATCAACCAACCCAGGTAAGGGCTTGGTAAGAATAGAAACGATGTTTTCACGATGAACTTCCTAGTCTAGGTAGTCCGGGTACCGCCAATGTGGGTCTTTCCTCCACCGTCGAATGTAGTGAAGACCATGTTACGCTACCTTCCGTTACCCAAGCATCGGAAATCAATCTGGGTTGTTTACCCTGACACTGACGTGACTTTTTGCCAACTAATCTACACCCACAAACCCACCTGCTTCTCATAACTGACGTAACCTGTTCCAAGTTTAGAGCAAGCTATTTTAGGAGCTGGAGAATGCGGAAAGAGCACGATACTGAAGCAGATGCGAATTCTTCATAATAACGGGTTTACCGAAGATGAAATGACACAACAAAAACGGGTTGTCTACAATAATACGGTAACAGCAATGCAGCAATTGATCAAAGCCATGCAACAATATAATATAAAGTATTCGTCACCTGATCGAGAGGTAAGGAGAAGCCATTTTTGACTCAGCAACCCCACGGAAGCTTTTGACAGCTTGACCAATCGATAGCTCCTGCTGAATCAGGTAATTTAAGGCAGATGCGTTGATCGTTCAAGACGTCATCAAGCAAGGCCGAGAATCAGAGCCATTCACTCCTGACTTAGCCGTAGCCATCAAGGTTTGTTCGTTGTTAGCTCTACCTCCTGGTCTTTCTTCTTATAAGCCGTTCAATTACGTTAACCAAGGTTTACCAGCTTCTTTGCACACCATTATAATAACTTCGTTATGTTAGCTACAAAATAAAGTTATTTCCAGCTTGGTGAAATCCTCGAGCAGACCTCTACTGTGGGTATCGTTTAAACTGCGAATTTACTAGCCTTTGCAGCTTATAATTGCGAATGCAGTGGGACAATGTTACCTTTCTGCTGACCTGGGAGATTTCAAGTCGAGCGCTGAGTTTTCGCAAGTGGTTTTTCCTACACAAACCAGAAATCTTTTTTCTGCGAATTTCGAGGTGCCTTCGAGTAAGCGGCTCTGCGGGCGAAAGGTAGAGTAATGTGTGAGTCCCCAGTGTGTCCTCTTGACATTCTTGCAACTGAAAAGAATGCGAGAAATGAGCTTCCTTACCGATGGTAATCCAACTGCTATGGCCAGAAGTGTTAGATGGTTAGAAAAAAGTATCGATATCTCACCTATGGGCTGCAGACCAAATCTCAGACGGCATCTTTCATGATTCAAACATCATTCCATCTTTGCGAAGTCGATTACTTGGTTCCAGATTCATGTGGGGAATTAGGACAAGATTAGGTACATCTGCTTCCCTTAATGGGGAATAAAGTCGAAGGCGTCAAAAAGGTAATTGACAGAGCCAGACGATTCGCAAATCCTTCAAAAACTATTACTTGCAATTTTTCCTGGGTAATCACCCGATTGAACTGCATTAGATTGGCATGTCTGGCACTTATTTGGCATCAAGCTCGATTTAAAGGGCTAATAAAGGTACCAGAGCACAGATATGAAAGTCACAGCTATTAAGAAGTCATACACAGGATGATAGGACTGTCGGTACCGAGTACTCTTGTTCTATCAAAGCTTTGAGGAAACCCACAGGGTCTAGTCGACGGCCGAACGAATCTCTACCATCTCGATTGTGACTCAGGCACATCCGAGCTGTCACATGATTGCTTCTGAAGCGATGTTCCCTCAGTTTCTCCTCCACCTTTGTACAGAAATAGATAAATCACTTGGTAGCGAAAATACTCGCAGCTACGTACTCTGCAAGGAGTACTTGTAATCTATGCAGTAAATGCTGTGATATGATATCCTCTGTAGCAATCCCAACTTTTTATAGAAACTATGGAACGACAAAGCTGTTCAAGAGGTATACGAGGAAAAACGACTTGAATGCCATCTACACGAAAGTACTCGATTGTAAGTATCGAATTTTTTCATTTAACAAATGATATTTCTGATATTTCCGACAATCGTCAATTCCTCGAGTGTGGGGGCAGCTACACAACCACACAGATGATGCCACAACTAAATTCCGGATTGAAACCTTTTTTTCCCGGATAGGCTTTCGCTTACTCAGTGCCTCACCTTTACTGGCACCAGATCCATATGGGGCAACGAATGCATCGGGCGTAACCTGTGGTGGTCAATTCGTATACAGGCTGGGTACACGCTCAAGCAGCTTCTATTATCATTAGTACGTCAAGCTCCATAGAAAGGTGGCCATGGAGGGAAGGGACAACGGAAAAACAGTGAACAGTAGTCCTTACCTTTCACTTATATGGCTCAAACAATGGCCAATATATAACTCTTAATTGAATAACAGTACTGCTTTGTCCTTTTATGTTTTTTGATCGAAAAAAGTTAAATTTTCAGCTTTCTCGACAGCGTCGATCGTATATCAAATGTGAATTATAAGCCTACCGATCAAGATATATTGCTCACCCGGATAAAAACTACTGGAATCGTTGAAGTGTCATTTATGATTAAGAAAGTACATTTCAGGTAAGAGTTGATGTGTGATAACTTTCCCATCTAGGGTCCCAGAGCATGGTGCCTACCGCATGTGACTCTGAAGTTCCTAAAATCAGATTTATGTAAAACCCACTGTCAGGGAGTTGAATTTCAGAGTGTTTGATGTGGGAGGCCAACGATCGGAACGGAAAAAATGGATTCATTGTTTTGAAGATGTTAACGCCATTATTTTCATAGCAGCTGTCAGTGAATATGATGAAGTATTGTTTGAAGACGAGACAACGGTGAGCTTTTTGGGCTACTTCAATTTAAGCAAGCTCTTTCCCATAAGGAAGTTGTTCGGTTGAAATCTGAAGTCTCAATGCTCTTGCTCAGTTTGAACCCGATACGGGCCGTACATATGTATGACTTACATGTGTGTTCTCAACGACTCCATCCATTCTCAGGCTTAAAAGTGAAAAACCTTCCACAATTCTGTAATTTTTACATTTCTTCCAGCAGATCCTCTGTCTCCATAACTCAAAAAAGGGCTCAATCTCACTCTTTTCCACAACAAAGACGGGGTTACATTAGTTGTTGAAATACGCTGCACGTTATCAAACTCAACTTTCTTGCAAATTATGTTCTCCTAAGCTTTCACCTTTGAAGGGCCCACTCACCATTCCCCGTGTTAATGGGTTAGTTTGCCCCAAACTTTGGCTCTTTTCCTGAATTGTTCACGAATTCTGAAGTCTTGACTCTTAGCTGTCACTGATCGCCTTAACCGATTGCAGCCGTATTACTAAAGTATGTGACTATCCATTCACAATGCTAATTCGAAAGACTCCTACTTGCTCCCATCGATCGTAGTGAAAGCGTTACTGAAGGGATTTTTCGGGTTTTGGTAATGTACATTACCCCGATTGCACAGAAAACGATATCCATAGCGGAAGTTATGGCAGTGCACGGATCTTCCCCTTACTCATAACTCCTAATTTGAACAGCATAGGCCGTCAATTAGAACTGCAATGGCAGACCACAAATAAATAGGTAAAAGTTCAAGCCGTTGCAGGTAATTATAAGGTAATCAATTTGCATAAAGTTATTGACAGTCGTCCATGGCCGTTTGCGTTGCCATGCAAACGAGGAAGTTCAATACTTCGGTGTGTGACGCCGTTAACTGCATATGATAATTCAATACCGAATTGTTTTTCTTTCATTCTGCCCCCTTAGAGGGGTTGAAAACAACTCGAGCTCAAGCCGTCAAGCACAGCCCTTAGAGTTGCGCCATGCATTCTACTCTGAAGGTAACTGAATGAGGAATGCAGTGCTTCGAAGAGGTACTGGGTGATTGAGAAAGACAACAGAGATTAGCCCATTTGAGCTGGTGGAAGAGGCTAGAATATGTAGCCCTAAGGTGGAATTGGGGTGATAGAACGGAATTTGCACCGCAGTTCGCAATTTGCCTAATAACTACAGGTTCCCTTGCCCCTATGGGAAAGTCTCGGGTGAAGAGCTGACAAAATTTCCACCACGACGTGACACTTGTCTATTAATTACAAGTTTTTGACTCCAAAAAGGAACAGAGGGAATTTTTTCACAAATTAGGGCTCCAACTACTTATTCGCTCCTGTCCCACACGGTTACTATATTGAGTTCCTCTACCTATATCACATCCACCGCCAAAACTTTGGTACTTATCAATTTATTTCCTTTTCAGAATCGGATGCTTGAATCACAACGTCTCTTCGAATCGATTTGCAATAGCCGATGGTTTATCAACACGTCAATTATTTTGTTTATGAATAAAAAAGATCTGTTTATGGAGAAAATTAAACGCGTCTCCATCAAGACGGCGTTCCCAGAATACTCAGGTTTGCACTTTTCTACACTATCTAACCATTTTTCAATCTTGGGGGCACAGAACCCACAACGATGTTGAAGTAATCCGTAGGGATCGACGTAAGAAACAGTGTTTCGCTCCGTCTCGGAGTCATGTTGGTTCCAAATGAAAAATTCATATGATTCATGGTAGCGAGTTTATAGTGGCGGCATCGTGAGTCGCTCTAATGAATTATGGGCTAATAACCCTTTGCGAATGTTCATTGAATTTGAGACATTACTTCACATAAGGCATAAAATAAATTAGAGTCTTTTTACGTAATCAATCCCGTCCGAGGGATGCGCCCCCGCATTCGACTCCCTTTAGAATCGTAATAGCGTATTGAATGCGTATGCGGCCTATACAATGACATGCGGTGGTCAGCCGATGTACAAGTCAGTGCTTTTATCCTCCCAGACGAGTCTGGTACCCATTAATCTACCCCGAGGGAAAGGGAGGCTTGGTAGGCCTGGGCAAGCCGTTTCCAGGGACTAGGTTCTTTTTCAATACTGTGATCGACTACTCTCACCTGAAAATTGCCCACCTCACTCTCGAAGGAAAAGTGACGACCATCAGTCCTAGGACTCTGTCTATTTTCGACTTATTCACTTATGAAGAGAACGTTTATCAGGTTACTGTAGGCTATCTCCTGTAGTTGTTCATTTCAGGACCGCAAACGTACGAGGATTCGATGAAATACATCAAACATCGTTTTGAAATGTTAAATCAGAATCCGAAAAAGACGATATTCGTGCACGAGACCTGCGCCACTGATACGGATCAAGTTCAGAAGATTCTTGATTCAGTTATATCAATGATTATACAACAGAATCTTCACAAAAGCGGTCTTTACTAACGACAAAATGGTTACTTTCCTTTCCAAAATGTGTTTTGCAAATGCAAATGAAATCGCCTTAATTCCCTAGGTTCTCTTTCTGTATGTAATGTATGTATGTGCTGTCTGGCTACATCATATCGTTGTTATTGTTTTCTTGATGGATTCTTTGAAAGTAAAATTGGCACTATTGGTTCTGTGCATGCTCACCTCTCCGAATTTGGGCTGGAATTCCTTGAGATTTGTCACCGGTGTGGTCTGGCCACCTGCTTTGGGATATCGCATCTCAGGCTCGCCAAGTTGGTCACCCATCAGAGTCCCAGGAAATTCGCCCAGTTTTTGAATAACAGGGTTGTGAAGGTAAATGGTACCAGAGGACCAGATATGATCTCGACTTTTGAGCTTTTTCGCACCTCCTACATGGACGCTGGGCCTGTTTCCCAACTGGTAACTGAATTTCAAAATGCTTGCTGCTTCAAGCTGTGACATCAACAGACCTGAGAAATCACAAATAACATTAAAATATCGTCTATAAGGAAAAGTAGAGCTGAGGAGGCTTGGATTCAAATGGGTTCTGACCAAAAAGTTGAGCAGCAACAATGATGGAACTCCAGTCGCGCCATGTTTTCGATTCTTTCATAGCAGATGGTTCTCTTCTGTCTCTCCCTACCAACCCTTTCATACACTTCCCTACCTTTTTCATTGATCATGAGAGTTTTGAAAAAGCCAGGGGTGCAGAGCAGTTCAGATACGACGCTTGATTTTATTGGTATCTTTTTCTACTCAGAACTTGTTTGTTTACCGTTGTATATAATAAATGTTTGTAAAATCTCGAATTGCCTTTTTGCAATTTGTTNTTTGTTGAGTCAGCATTTTGCATAATTCGGTCGGCATGTGGCGGATTATAAAGTAAGTCTAAAGGATAAAGCCTCTGGACATTGATCAGTCTCGTTTGAGACTGATCAATGTCCAGAGGCATCTGACTTCCACTCAGAATCGTAGGGGAGTATTGAATGCGTATGTGGCCTATACAATGACTAACGGTGGCAGCCGATATAGAATTCAGAGCATTTATCCTCCCAGACGAGTCTAGTGCCAATCAACATACCCCAAAAGGATAGGAGGCTTGGTTTGGCTGGGCGGATATCGAAGCAGGGTTTGAATACATGACCATGCTGCGAAATTCGCCGCTACACCACCTACGTCCAAATTTCTGGACAAAACCAATAATTCAAGAAAACGTTATTACACTGTGGATGGCCCATTACTCTGAATATCCATATTAAGGACAATTCTGATCCCTTAGAAGGTATAATTAGAACTGAAGAGAACCTTTTATCAACAGGCGTTTCGATGGTTCAACAGATATCCGCTTCACAATGAATCGACTATAGTTCGATCACAACGAATGTAAAAACGATATTACAGGCACAGAAAAGAATTCGAATCAGTCCATGACCAACAAAAAAATCTGAGAATAATCCGAGTTTAAGGTAGAAATCTAGCCTCTCTACTGACAATGGGTAAAAAGATGAAATTCTCTAGAATACAAGTAATCTTTGGCACCTCGTGTGAGCAACAAATTGAAAGGCACAGGAACGTTAAAGACGACTTTGACAACCAGAATCATAATAGAAACAGTATCCTGAGTGAGTTTTTCTGAACTTTGAACACTTATGGATAGTGAGAACGTTTGTTTTACTTCTTACATGAATGCGTATGTTTTAGTATTTAAACTGACTGAAGAAGATTTTTATATATTCACACTTGACTGACTCTATTCCTTCGCTGATTATCATATGACGAAGAAGGAGTAACGGCTGGAGTTCTACTTTTTCGAGGATATGCTTGTGATGAGCTGGGATCTACAATGCAAAGAAATCAGAAGAGAAAACGAGAAAAATAAAAAGTACGAAGGGATCCTAATTTGAAACAAAAGCAAAAAATTAGTAAAATCAGGGGTTGGACGAGAATGTGACGGCAAAAGTTGCATGGAAGGAGTATGTTGAAGGAGTTGCTCAATTGTGTGTGTGACATTGAGGAGAGCTGGCTACAGTAAGCTGCTTGCGTGCAACGTGTGCATCTCGGTGCGAGTAGTGCAATTTCTACTGCCTCCACAATGCTGCGTGAACTCGTCCGCCTTTGAGTGTGTACGTCGGCTAAGCCAGTTTCGGTACCCTTACGCCCTATCTAGGCCTACGTTCAATCCATCAGCGCCCGTCGTGTTTTTGTTAGGGTCGCAGGACAGTGGCTTTAGACCCTGATAGTGAGCCCAAAAGTGGGAAGCTCCGGGTTTTGATGCATGCTGATGAATAGGGGCCCAAAATGGCTTAAGAAGATTTATGTAGTTCGTAAAAAATAACGTTGTAGAAAGCGACTTCAGCTAAGAATTACTGAAGCGTACCACTGGGTCCTGGTCGCAAAGCGAACGTGTAGGCTGACGAGGAAGGATGCATTATTCGATGGCGGTTCTGTGATGGACCTGCCCAACTGCGGCTATGGGCTGAAATCAAAATCATTAACTCCTCATTGTGAACGGTGCTACTTGGTAGACAGTTGCATATTCGCACTCCTGCCCCACCCTCTCGTCATTACTTCATTCGTCCCTCTCAGAGCTGAATTTACCCTGATTACCTTATTTACTCCCACTCCCCCAACCGTCTTCAAGACTACCCCTCCCCTTGCGGAATTATGCGTACCCACAAAACAGACGTCTTCCACTTACGCATATCTTCGGCTCCTCCGTTATCAGAGAGATAGGAAGACTTTTTCTTTGGGGTATCGTATGACGATAGATTTGATGGTAGAAGGAAGGGTGATCGAGCTGAAGACGCGAACGACGGTAACTGGTAAGATGAACCTGACAATGGTAAATATTAAGAAGAAGGCATAACTATTTCCATGCAGGACTAAACATTACCATAATCGTAAGATGTCGTCAACGTGTCATTGGAAACGGACGTATCGGCACGATTTCCGCTAGTTACACTCGACTGGAATCGTGAGTCCCCTTCAGCCGGTAAAGCCTGTAATGAATCCTAACCTTCGACTGGATCGTAGCTTTGATTGGATCATATTGGGTGGAAAACTCACAAAGGGTGTCGGTTTCGTTTTGCTGTCTTTCCTCATCGATCGCATAGTCAACGGCCCGCTATATTTGCGAACTGCAGTGCTACCGTTACCGGATTTTTCTGAAAATTCATTTGAATTTGATTGTGGTAACACTAAGACAGAACTGAACGAACCAAAACGGATCTGCTCAGAGAGCCTTTCCATTTCGTTGTATCCTTGATTATATATGCCTTTATC